ATCATAGTTGGAAACACAAAAAAACTGTAAATGAAATAGTTGAATTTATTTTGGTAACTTTCCTGTTGTTTCCACAGACGTTAGTGCTGTGAGAAGAGCATCTTATGATGTCACTTCCACCAAGGAGGAGCACCACAACTCTGCATACACCAGATCAGTTTCAGCATCTTTCACTGAGATCAACTGTAAGGTATGGACACCCCATCTTTTTGGATGACTATTAGAATGGAAAAAAAAAAAAAGGGCGGCATGTGCCTTGTGATTTTTAAACAGAAGTGTGAGTGAAATGTCCGTCACAATAGTGGGATGTGTTTTATTACAGCAGGATAAGTTGCCGGAGCAAAGGTCGGATGAAGACGAGTGCAGCTCGTCCACAAGTTCCACAGAACGTTTGGAGGGAGACTGCAGGGAAAAGTAAGAGCATACTGCTGTTCATTTTATTTCTCTAGAACAGGGGTTCCCAAAGTGGGGGTCGCGAGACCCCGAGTGGGGGTAGCGAGATGATTACAAAATAAAAATGGAAAATTTAAAATATTAAAATATTAAAAGAAATGGATTAATTTTTTTTATAATTTTTTTTTTAAAATTATTATTAATAATAACGTTTGCATAGACATTTTCAGGGGCGGAATAGCCATCTGTATAATTTCCCCACAACGAGGCTCCCCCTTTGACAATCCACTAGCGCAGTGTTTCTCAAACTTTTTCATACCAAGGACCACTTAACCAATAAAAAACACTCATGGACCACCTAACTCCACAAATATCCAAAAGCAATAGGCCTGCTTACCCATTCCAACAGTATATAACAAATTACAGCCTAATAATGACAGTAGTGATAGTAATAGTAGTAGTAATAGTAATAGTAGTAGTAATAGTAATAGTAGTAGTGATAGTAGTGAGACAATTCACTAGCACCCCCCCCCCACCCTCCCCGTTGACAGGGGTCGCCGCCAGTCTCTGGCACTGTTATTTTGGGGGTCGCGGGCTGAAAAGTTTGGGAACCCCTGCTCTAGAAGGTCTGATATCATACTAGTTTTTTGTGTAAACCGTGTAAAAAAGTACTTTTGTACATTGTGCTGTATTATCCCTGATTTATGGTTCATCTGCAGGAAGACCGATTCTGGTGACATGCACGATTTAGTCAACATGATGACCCAAACTTTGAGAATGGATATTGGGGACGGTGTGACTGAGGTGGACAAAGGTGGATTTAGCTCTACCTCATTGCCAGAATTCAAACTGAACAGGAAGTACAGAGACACCCTGGTGCTTCATGGGAAGGCTCGAGAGGATGCGGAGAACTTGTCACTCGGTGAAATACCAATCGGTTAGACATTTTGATCAAACGCTATCTTGCATAATTTAGGCATTCTGGAGATTCTTTGTGTTTGACCGGCTTCTCTCTCAAAGGCTCGTCGTCTGGTCCAGCCAAGATCAGGAGAGCCATAGAGAAACTGAGGACAGATGTGGTGAAGGGTCTGGGGGTCAAGCTGCTGGACAGGGTCCTGGAAATCATGGAGGTGGAGGACGACACCAAACGAGAGGTATGATGTTCAACAAATCACACCAAATCATATGTACTGTACCCGGGGCTTAACAAAAAAAATCAGGAAGCAGCTAAATATGATCTTGGGAAATACGTGTTCATTTTTGCAAAATGCTTTTTTGAAAATGATCAGGAGTATCATGGTTTGCTTAGATACATTGTGCACTTGTACACCAGGAAATTCCCTAAGATGAAGGAGTGGTGTACAAGTTACATACAGAGACTGATTTATGAGTTTGATGCATTGGTGAGGTCAATGCATTCATTTAATCTTGTCTTTGTGTTAAGAGTTCCGAAAATCAATAAATCAATAAATTCGACTGACTTCTTTGTGAAAATGTATGTTATATTTAAGATCATATTGTATGATATTCTGTCCATATCACACCTTAGAATATAATAACTTGTCCATAGACAGTGTAATCGATTTGTCTGAGACGTCAAGCCAGGTAATCCAGTGGTCCTTTGTTTCCAAAATGATAAGTTAGCAAACTTTTTTCTCACTGCAGCTGTGCCTTCGAGATCAGATGGGAGATGAGAAGTACCAAGCCTATGCTGTGATGGTGAGGCAGCTGAAATTCTTTGAGGATATTGCCGTCAATGGCTAGAAGAAATCCTGAATACAACAGAGAATATGTTCAATGATACCAATTGTGAAAAGAGGCTTTTTGATTGATCTCTAAAAAGAACATTTGTCTACCGGAGAAATATTTCAGCTTTCAAGTGTGCTCACCGAATATGAATTGTTGCCTGCCCAGACACCAACACAAGCTTGTGCATTGATGTGTGTAGATTGAATTTCCACAATGCTGAAGTGCGAGGAGTCTTCTGTTAATAACTGTTTAAAGTTCCTTTTTTACCTCGTTTTTCCAAAAATTACTGCTGTAATTTGCCAAATGTCTATGCATATTTTGAGTCATGTTAAAGCACTCTTTGTTTTTCTACTTTCTGTAATGGATACTTGTTTATTTATAATCCATCTATACATTTCAATAATTGTTTCATCTATGCTGTTTCTTTGAAGACACTAGATCTCCCTGTTCTTGCTGTATTCTAATTTCTTAAACACAAAATAATGTAGATGTATTGTAGATATTAACATTTGAATCTTTTCTAATAAATTCTAAAATGTGATTTCTTTATCGGTCTACAACTTTTTTTGATGTCAAGAACCACAATAAAACAACTTGGTCATATAAAGTGACAAATATAGAGTAACACTAAATAAAAATGCACATTTTGGATACAAAGCATAATCAATAACTCTTACAGGTAGAGAAATACACATGAAACATCCCATTTATAAAACAGAGAATCAGATGTTTATTATTTGGACAGTATTTCACTATTGACTTACAAACACTGTAACAATGTTTCCTTCCTAAATGCTTCAGATGTAGACTGTAAAACAAAGTTCCAAATCTTTTCTGATAAAGGATGTATTAACAGCCAGGCAGGGAATGTTCTGAATTATTTATGCTTCTTCTTCTTGAGGGCTTCCTGAGGTTTTTGGCTTGGCTCCGCGCTGGTCTCTGGAATAATTGGCTGCCAGGAAAGAGGATTCTGTCTGTACATCGGCCATGGAGGCAGCGTCAACTACAGTCAAGGACAGAACAATATATTATGTAATGATGGCTGTTGTTTATGCACCCCTACAAGAAGTACACACATAGTATGCAACCACAAAGCAGCCAGCAATCAGATTGAGATTATTTATATCAACACTTCATCGTATGTCCTCGCTTCGCTAAAACAATCACTAAAGGATTCTTACCACACAGGACACCACAAATCCAGCCAAGACGATGTACACTGTCCATCCAAACTGTTCAATGATCAGACCGTACACAAATCCAATCACCTGGAAAGATGATACAAAAGATATCAGTGAACCTGACAACAGGTAAACAATATATATATATATTTCAGTAAGAATCTTTGAATTGCTGGTTTGGATGTGTCGTGGTTAGTTACCGCTGAGACGAGTATTATTCCTTGGAAAATCTGTTCAGCCAGTTTCTGGCCTTTATAATCCTGTAACACAAGGAAGGGGACACACATAATTTAGGCAACTTTTATCAAGCATCAAACAATGTTGCTACGGGCTCATGGTCCAGATCAAGAAAAGTATACAAAACCATATTATATATTTTTGTATAAATACTATTCAGAGAAAATGTGTTAAGAACTGGGATTGGAAGCACTAAACCTTGTTTGATCATTCATTAGGAAAATACAGTAATACATAAGATTTAAGACTAACATTTCACTTGCACTACATCATCTATTGCTTGGATACATTTCTTATAGCATCATAATCATTTAGTTGACGTCTATGCACACGTGCATTAGTGTAAATGAACCTCAAATGAGCAGTAAAGACTGGTGAACAACATTCTCTTAGCAGGGTAAACATTTCACAAGATCAGTACAGATTGAGACAAGGGAGTAAATGGGTCCACCACTGCAGAATAACTGACGAAACTGACACCTATACAATGAGAGTTGCCTTATAGCCTTGTTTAGCTGTTTAGCACAATGGATCAGAGACATTGGATGGTTGGTCAACATATTTTGAAGGATGTAACAACGTTTGCCAGCAGCTGTTATCAATGCACTGGTTAGCTAGGAAATAATGTCACCGTTAGCTTGATACGAAAGCATGAATTAATAACTTGCTAAATAATTCCTCTTCATGTTAAAGAGGATAAAAATGTCTTACCATGTGCGATGGGATGGATTTGAATATCGACAGCATGTTTTTACTTGAAGTAAATTAAAGCACAAACGGAGAAATTGTGGAGCAAACCAAACCGAAGTAGTTTGACTTCCGGTTTGAAAAAGCTACGTCGTGTTGTGAAGGACCCATCCGGGTACTTCTGAGCGTTGTAACATTTTTACCCATAATTAAAAAATATTATAGTAGCAACATCATTATGAATACATATGCAATTAAAACTAATTGTGTATTCAACAAATATTTAATCTGAAATATGAAACTGTATTTTTCTTTATTTTATGTATTTTTGTATGACTTTATATGTCCACCACTGATACCAACTTTTTTGTATATAATAAATTATGTTCATAATGTTCTTGAATAAATAAAGGAACACAAATATTTTAAATCCTGAATGTCTGCGCAGCTTCACAGACCGATAACTAACAGGGATTGGGTAAAGTGCGCCGCGTTATGAACACAATTGATTTGGTGGTAGTGAAAGGTTTTGCCTGACTAAATTACCTTTAGTCAATATGTCTCATGACTTAAACCTATGCATATTTAATTAAAACATGTTGAACTTGTATTTCAAGTCACTCAATGATATCAACACACTGAATTAAATTCACAATGATTTCTGTAAATACTGGAAACACCAAGCTAATGCATTTTTACAATCAGGCAAACGCAAGGGCAGCTATCACTATGTGCATTTGTGCTGGCGAATAAACTTGTTGCTGTTGAGTTGGCAGTTTGGCTTCAGCGTGTATTATTTTTGCTTTCCTCCCTGCTTTCTAAACTAAACCTTCCTTTGCTAAATTTAAGCAAAGGAAGACACCGCTAAAAAGATACTAGTTTGCTGAAGGTCCCGGTGTGTTTTTATGTGGACCAGAGCCGTATAAAGAGATCTTATACGGCTCTGATGTGGACCTAACGCAGAGATCCCTGGTTCATCTCAGTCCTCTTTAGCCAGCTAATGCATCCTGGGCTGCACTCAGATCAACTCTGAGGTTTCTTACATTTATTTGATTTTTGGCCGTTTTCGTGACAATGAAGAGAGGTGAGTCAGTGTAGAGGAAGCATATACAAATGGATACAGACGCAAACTGGCTACCACATTTACCACACTGCCACTGTTTAATTGGGTTGTGCACCACAGCTATCATTAAAATCAGCTAATCTCTTTTTCAGTAAACTTGATCATCCTTGTGCTGCTTGCTGTTGCCTTCCTGATCATAGTTGAACGAAACCTCCTCAACCTAAGTGACATTTTACATTTGGAAAATCCAGGTAGGCCTATGTCTATTTATTATTTGGTGAAGAGTATTGCATATCAGCTTTGTAGCTTTGCCTCAGAATATCAGATGTATTGTTGTTTGAACATCTTTTCAAACTAATTCAGTGCGAAATCTAAAATGTGTCTTTTTTTATGCAGATGCAGGGATAGTTCTCCCATTTGAATCCGAGGTGTCTCCAGACCTTAGACTAGAGACAGTGAGGAAAGGAGAGGAAATCCCTGTCCTCATCACTGCTGCTGAGGAAAGATTGGGGGCGGTGGTTGCTGCCATGAACAGTGTCTACCAGAACAGTAAAGCCAATGTTGTGTTCACCATAGTGACTCTGAATGACACGGTGGATCACCTAAAGTAAGAAAATGGCACCTGTCTGTCTTGCTACAGTCTGCATACCATTATATTGCTTTGGGCAGATGTCTTTAGTTAAGCTAAGAGAACTTGTGAAAATATTAATTGTCTAACACAATGGTTCTCAACCTGTGGTACGCGTACCACGGGTGGTACGCCAGCTCCCGCTAGTGGTACGTGGAGGAATCTGACATATAAAAAAAAAAAATTAAATTAATTAATTATTTTTTTATTCAAAGGTGGGGTAGGTAATTTTGGAGAAACCAGCTCGAGTGAGCTAGAATTTGAAAATACACAACCGGAAAAAATATGCCACTTCCTTACAGAGCCTTCCACAGATGAGATTTTTTTAAGGATTTTTTGTCAAAGCACTTCAGATATTCATTGCTATCGGGATGTTAAGAGCATTCCATGGAATATAACAAAAGTGTATCTCGAGCCGGTTTCTCAAACGTACCTACCCCACCTTTAACCTTTACACATAACACAGACATATAAAATACAGGAAACAGAACTAAGTAAACAAAAAGACGAAAAGCAGTCACTACATTGTGCACATTTGGGACATTAAGGTACACTATTATTACTGCAAGAGCAGCTGATGGTAAGGACCTCAGACAACTTCAATTTAAAACAGGCTATAGGGACAAGTGCCATCAGTTTGAGGCTTGATTGAATAACATTAATTACAAAATAAATCATACTATCAAAATACTACAACGAATGAAAATTTGTGGTTTAAATTAGTTCTAATAGGCTATTGCTGTTTTTAGATTTAGAAACGAAAACATTTATTTTATTTTATTTCTGGCGTTGCTAATTACGACCTTACTACCCGCTAACGTTGCAAGCAAGCTAAAGAAAGAAGAAAGCTGAATGATGTTAAAAACGTGGCTCAAAACGGGAGGTATTCGGAAGAGAGGTACAGAGTAGAATATTACCAGTGAAAGTGAACAAGTGAATGAGGAGGAGGACGACAGTCATCAACCGAGTACAAGCGCAGGCTCCGCCAGCAACACAAAAGTGATATGCACAGCCGCTGTGATGGAGGAGAGAAGTGACACAGGAAGAAGGCATTTGCTCAAATAATGGAGAGAAGGCTGTGACCGAGGTCAAACGCTGAAAAAGCACACACTTGTCCTTAATTGTTGTCTTTTTTCTTATCTCTTTTCTTTTTTACTTTGCCACCACAGAAATGGCAATAGCAAACATCAGCAGACTGAAGATGAGCTATTAGCCCTTAGGCTCATCTGCTCTTGGAGGCTTTCATTATTATTGTGGAACTGAATTCCCAATAGGACATTTTCTGTTACGATGTAGGTTGTTGCAGGAGGCCTACATTCACACTTTGGTATAGGAAATGACATGTATGTACAGTTGACATTTGTTGTGTGAGAACAAGTTATTATTTTGTTCTTTATATTCTCACTTGTGGTGAGTGTGAGAGAGAGTGAGAGAGAGAGAAAAAAATATATACATTTGCCGCCAAGTCCTGCATGGACTGTATTTTAACATTGGTCATATGGTGGTACTTGGAGAGCCAACTATTTTCTCAGGTGGTACTTGGTGTAAAAAGGTTGAGAACCACTGGTCTAACATGACCTTTTCTTCCTTGTCAACAGTGAGTGGCTTACAAAGACACGGCTAAAAAATGTCAAATATAAGATTGTTATTTTCAAGCCTGAGCTCCTCAAAGGGAAGACATCTAAAGATCCTCAGACGCTGGAAGCTGTCAAACCGGTAAGCCAAAGGAAGGTTTTATCACAGTTTTTACGGTGAATATTTGTCAGTTACAGACATTGTTAATATGTCTTTTTTTTCAGTTGACCTTTGCCAGATATTATCTACCTGCATACCTACCTGAGGCAGAGAAAGCTATCTATTTGGATGATGATATTATTGTACAAGGTAAGACGCCACCATAAAGGAGGATATTACCTTGGACATAAACGTGTAAAGGTGCTGTGTAAAGGACTATTTTACAGCCATTTTGATTTCAGAAAAATGTGTTTTTAATGGATTTATTATGATCATTAACTCTTGTAATTATACATGCCAAAGCAGTCAGACAAATAACACTCTGTAAGTGAATCAAAAGTGTAATTTTGCTTCTGGATCTCAGGGGACATTCAGGAGCTTTATGAAAGCAACCTCAAACCAGGACACGCAGCTGCATTTTCTGATGACTGTGATTCAGCATCTTCTAAGGGTTTCGTTCGAGGGGCTGGAAATCAGGTGGGCCATCTCTTGGAGTTTTTTCACGATCATTAGTGGAATGTTTCTATACGAAGTTGCCAACATTTGGTTCTATAATGTGTTTTCTCCAATAGAATAGCTATATAGGTTTCCTGGATTTCAAGAAGGATGCTATTAAGAAGCTAAGCATGAGGGCTAACACATGCTCCTTCAACCCCGGGGTCATCATCGCCAACCTGACGGAGTGGAGGAACCAGAACGTCACCCAGCAGCTGGAGCACTGGATGGAGCTGAACACACGGTACGTCCCTCACACAGGGGAGAGGGTGGATTAATGAAAGGCTAGTGGAGTCTTTCTGTTTGCTCATCTTCTTTGGTTTCTTCAGGGAGGATCTGTACAGTAACTCGCTGGCAGAGAGTATCACCACCCCTCCACTCCTCATTGTTTTCTACAAACGCCACTCCATGATCGACCCGATGTGGCACGTCAGGCACCTTGGTAGGTTTTGCTTACTCACTGATAGGACACTTGAACATTAGGGGTTTTTCTCAATGAAGCCCCGGTTGTAGATCTAATTGATTTTACACACAAACAATTCCAATTGTTCTTTTTCTGTAAGGTTTGTGTGATGCAGACAGCTAAATTAGTTTATTTATGAGTTGTGATACTCTTTTTAAACAGAAGAGGGCATTATCTTCTTTTGACTTCATTTTATTCCTATGTCACTACCTGGATCAAAGTGCAAAGATGTGCCAGCCACAGGGAATTTTTTATAAATTGCGGAATAACAATCATGTTTTAAGTCAGAGATGTGGCAGGTTTTTGCTTCACCCAAGTCAGAAAATGCAATAGGTGAGAAGAGAACAGAAAATCAAAACGGTGTGCAAAAATGGCAAGAGAAGAAAGGGCTATCATGAGCTCAATTTCCTTTTAAAACAAAATATGTTTCATTTTTACAAAGAAAAAAGGAATTATGAACTTTTCATAGTCTACAGTCTACACCTACTGGTAGATTTATGTCTGATAAATTGTGTCATCTTTTTCAGTAACTTACCTACCGTCTTAATGTGAGAGAATCATATTGTAAAGCCAGTTTAGGGAATGGAATCAAATCCTGAGTTAAGTGTATCACTGGGCATATGAGCATACACCCAAGACTTGTGCTTGAGAAGCTTATATAGAGTTGATATAGAAATGATTCAGCATTTCAGCAAATACAATGGTGGTTTCCATCTTCCCCTATAACTCTTGGAAATTATTTGAACTTTCCAAAATGTTTAACTATTCCTTTAACAGACTTGTTGAGGCAGTTTTCTTTTGTTTGAGCATCTGGTCAGTTTAATTATACTACAAACTGCAGCTCTGTTCTTTCTTTAGGACGTTTTCATATTAAAAGTTAAACATTTAAAACGTTTTTGACACCAAATACAATCAACAGTATTGACATTGTTATATTATATTATTATATGATGGCTAAAACTTGTATTTTTAGGCTCTACAGGTGCTGGAAACCGTTACTCCCCACAGTTTGTGAGAGCTGCCAAACTCCTCCACTGGAATGGACACTACAAGCCCTGGGGGAGAACATCCTCCTTTTCTGATGTGTGGGACAAGTGGTTCATACCCGACCCCACAGGAAAATTCAATCCAGTCCGTCAACACGCAGAGGACTAGACTAAAACAATTGTTTACGGAATTTTTGAGCAGCCAAGCCCGTCCGGTCCCAACAGGATCACGCCTCGCAATACCTCAGGAACTATATAAGGCCTTTTCACTAACCAGCTCTGGGCTCCTTCTGTCAAACATCTGGACCTGTGTTCTCTCACCTTCACTAAATGCACATTTTTACTTTTTTGTATACCAATTGCATCCTATAACTGCTTAGAGCACACACACATACTGCCCATGGTTTGGTCCAGAAACCTAGTGCCCTTAGATTGCTTTAAATATAAATAAATATGAATGCATTGCTCCCAGACAGCAGTAATGAGATTTGCCAAGACGACGATTTATAACTGAGGCAGTCCAAGGAGCTTTGTTTACATGCAACTTTGTACCAATTTACTTTATTTGAATCCTAGGTGGTTAAACAGTTACCTCATTCCCTTTTTCAATTACATTCCTATCAGTTATCACTGCAATCTGAATTGTAACTGTTAGCCATGCAGAAACCTCAATGAAATACTGAAATAATGAAAGTAGTTTTATAATAAGTTGCACACATTATTAAAATCCATAGGTCAATGTTGAGATCAGCCTTTCCATCAAACATTTTAAGGTTATTCTCAAATATGAATTTAGTGGGATTTTCAATATTTTGATTATTTCCACCTGTACACTATGACTTCTAAATGAACACTAATGAAGGACTGTATTACCTCACAGGTTGAACTTGTTGGTATTATATGACCTTATATGCAGACCACTAAGCAAATGTTACCATGCTTCATATCCGCTCATTCAGGATTTGTATACACGTTGAAAAGCATTTGCCTTGCTGGTGTAAATATTTGTGACCCTTTGTAGAGTACATAAATAAAGTTACATTTTTATCATTTATATTTGTAGTTATCTCAACGTTTGCCCTTTCCAAGATCATGCTATGTTTTTTTGCAATACTTCCTGAAAACGGGTACGAAATCGCGGTCACAGGAAGAACGCCGTTCATAGGAAAGCATGAAACTGCTATATTGTAAATTCAAGGTTTTGTGTTTGACTGTAAAATATTTAGGCTTTGTTATGGGTTTAGTACATTTATAGTACATTGTCTATAAACATTATTTGGCATGAACATTACTAATGACATCAGGACATTTAAGATTTAACAACTTCTGGGAGAAGAAGTCAGTGGATATGTTCATGAGCACTAGACCACGATGACAGATACAAGTCCATTTGACAGGCACTGATTTGTCCTAGACAGCTCAAAGACGTCTAGGATAAAAAGGTGAGTCCTCGTCTGGACACTGTCCCAAGGTCTTCCAGATTCAGAAATTGAAGAAAAGGCAAAAACAGAGTAGTCACAAATGATCAGAAATTGAAGAAAAGGCAAAAATGATTCAAAAATCTACTTTGCCTGACAAGATGTGGACAAAGTCACCCTGACANGAAGAAATCTGCTACTTCCTTACAGAGCCCCTCGTCCAACACACACGAACGCGCACATGACCAATGAGGGCACGAGATAAGTTTGTGCACAGATGGAAGGCTGACAGGCAGGTAGGTCATCCAGTTATTTTAGCCGGGCCGGCTAACCTTCCATCTGTGCACAAACTTATCTCGTGCCCTCATTGGTCATGTGCGCGTTCGTGTGTGTTGGACGAGGGGCTCTGTAAGGAAGTAGCAGATTTCTTCCGGCTGTGTATTTTCAAATTCTAGCGCACTCGAGCTGGTTCCTCCAAAATCACCTACCCCACCTTTAAAGTGCCTACTGAGTATAATTTTTAAAGCTTAAACTTGTTTGCCGCATCTCTCGATCCGGACTTATACGGCATTATATTCTATATGTATGCAAGTGAGCCAGAACATAATTCTTGTAGCTATACAGTACACTTGTCCAAACCCAGATTTGGCACTCGCACCAATATTCGATTTGCAGGACAGGACTCTTTCTTGCGCCCTCATGGAGTTGACTTGGTCCCCCTGTCTAAATAGTCCCGCTATCCATTCCACAGTGAAGGGTTTGCTTAGCTTCCAGAAACCAAAACCTTAATTTGCTCTCAAATAACAAATTGCTTTGGGAGTGAAAGTGTAGCTTTTAATGCTACTGCACTTTGAATTATCGCTCATCAGTCATGGGGTGCTGAGTGTCACAAGACAGGATGTTTATCCAAGGTATCTCATTCTATGCACCCTACCTACACAGTGCATACACCGACATCCTTGTTAGTCCAGGATTAAGTTCTGTGAACACAGACTGAATCCTGGATTGAAGTCAAGTTTGTTTTGTTTGTTTATTAAAGCCAGTCTTATCCTATTTAATCACATGATGCTCAGAGGGGAAAACATTTATTGTAAGAATCCCACGAGAAGGACTGAAGCTGAACCACAGTTGCAAACCTTGCTACAAAAGTATGACAAAGAAGCTCGCCATACATTCTGTCTGTAACACTCCAAGACAAAATCCCACCCAACAAAAAGAGCTATGAAAGACAAATAATTTGATGTGAAATGTGCAATAACTATCGAAATGTGCACACCAATGACAATGTTCCTCTCTGTCTGGTGATCTGTAGCAGGAACATTTTAACATTTCTGGTTTGATTTTCATGAACATTGGTGGAATGTTGTAGCATGGGACTATAAGATGTTGGAGCAGATCCGAGTCGTGGCGCGGAAACACTCGTATTATGTTTCACCTTGGTTAACAGGTTAAGATAGGGTAATCATGAATCATGTGGTGTTGGAATAATCTGATTTTTTTTTTCTCAACTAGGAAAATTAATGGCCCCTCAATTGTGACAGACGACTGGAAAAATATATTTCAATGTGTTGTTCAAACGCCTGAGCACTATAATACAACACATCCTCCTAAAAGCATCTATGTAGTTCACACACAGCTAACTCAGAAAAAGGATCTTCCCAGTTTGGGTTAGTTACTACAAAAGGAAACTCTGGATTATCAAATGTTTAGATGACTTTGCTAGCACCCTATGTGCATTGATAACGTGTACATATATACAGGTACATAGAGCAATATCATGCCCACTAGAAGAGGCCTTATAAGCACCACTGATGGCTGAATACATACAAAGTCTCCAGTCGTCCACCTGCTCCCAGTTTTGCGCTCAGCTTGTTTATGGAGAGATCACCGGCTCACCGCATCACTCAGCTGTGCGCCACATTCATTTGCTCTTGCTGGATTGTTGTCTTGGTAACAACAGGAGACACTTTCCATAATGGACTCAAACAGTCACTATGGAAACAAAGTTTTTGATTTGCTATTAATAATCCTCCAACGGGTGCATATGTGTGCATTGTGCAAGAGATGAACTGGCTCTCTCTTTAAAACACAGAAAAAGGACACACATGCAGACACTTCTCTATAAATGTGTTTATGTGTCTGGAGTCTGCCTCACTGATATTTGGATCCTGGTGGAGATTTTTCATAGGTGCTACAAATCACCTCTAAATCACTAAACCAAACGTGATGCTGTTTCAAACATTTGTATGTATCTATGTTGATATGTAAAAATTACATTTGAAATATACGCAAATAAATAGTTATTACATTTGATTATTTCTTACAAATGTCTGACCTTTGTGACACAAGTTGAAGGATACAGGGACTTTAAAACAGACGGCAGTGGGATGTACTCTGAACCTCCAGCTGCTGCCACATGTTGTTTAATCAAAACAGAAGGGAATTAATAATGCAGACACTGTCACTGCAATCCACTCAAATCCTCTTTCTTTCTCATTTGTTACTTAATGTTTATCTACCCCTCCCAACTCTGTATCCCTTTCTGTTTGCCTATCTCTGTCCAGCCAAGCCCAACACCACATCCCAGCTGTCACAAATCCAGCTCCGTTTTGGCTCGCCCTCCCAGTCACCTGGTCTCTGAATGCTTCCTGGTCCCACACTGTGTTCCTGATTAACAGCTTAAGTTAAAGCTGGTATTGTAAAGGGATCAGGACACGTAAGGCCGAAACAATCCTCCTCCTCAGATTTATCATCACCAATAGTATACAGTCAAATTACAATCTACTCAACAGTTAAATGGATAACACTGAAAAGCTGCTATTTGCTAGTATAATTACAGTTATTCATCTTTTATACTGTGTCACACACACACACACACACACACACACACACACACACACACACACACACACACACACACACACACACACACACACACACACACACACACACACACACACACCCATCCACCCAGACATTCTTGCTTGCAAGGTTTAAATCTATATTCATATGTAAGCTTTTTCTATTTTTATCATCTTACCTATGTCTCGCCACTAAAAGCAATTGCCCCTCTAGGGCAAATAAAAGTTGAATCCCCTTGGCTTCCCGGCGCTCCGCTTGGCTTTATTTCAAATATTGACTAACCCGGCACCCTTCAGCATACAATATGTTGTTCAGTACATCATCCTTCAAACCTGACAGCTTATGGACTCACAGGTCACGTATTTTGAAAATGAATATTGATATATTTTGTTGTTTTTGCTGCAACTCCGTTTATACTTATATTTCCATCTCAAACAACCAGCTGACAGGTCCATGTCAGATGTTGTCATTAGGAGTAAATAATATTCTCAATCTTCATGTCCTGTGATGTGGATATAGTGTAGAAAACATTATTATAAAGAGACTTATACTATTTGAAAGTTCCCACACTCAGCTGCCAGCTTTTGCGATTTTTCTATTGATAAATCGTTTTCTTTCTGTCTTTCAAATGAATGCTGAGTGCAATGAGGGGGACATTCCCAGCATACAGACCACAATATATCACAAAGAGAGGCATGGGGTATGGGAGGAAGCGGAGGGTAAGGGAGCGTGATGTAATCATCTAAAATCATTTGCACTGATGGATTGGCCTGCGCCTGTTTATGTCACTCATGTCGAACGGTGACCCAGTCGCTCCAGCCCTCGCATCATCTCATTGGCCAATATTGATTTGGGAGGAGTGGTGTGTGGATCAACATTTGGGCGAGGGAGAGACAACACTTGTTTTGTTTCTAGTTGCTTGTCTGTTCTTTTCTACACTTTTCTGAATGTCCACGAGCGCCTATGTTTGTAATTGCTGGTTTGTAATTGTTCTGTTTGTCCTTCCTGTGGGCTTTTTTCTTCTTGATGACCTTTGGCTCCAGTGTTCCCGTCTCTCTCTCCCTCCCTATCAAAATGAACACATAACATCCATTCATCACACATCTTTTTTACCAAAGCAAGGAGCCCTCTCGCCCACAAGCTGTTATTTTTTATTTCACAGACAGATCGCTCATTAAAACATTTCTCAGGCATTTTTTCTACATCACGACTTCAGAGTGAGCTTACCTTCCACATTGCCTTTTTCAAACCGTATTTAGTGAATAAAAGCACATAATGAAATACCCCTGGCATTAGTGTTTCATATTGTCATTTGAGATGTTTGCTGATGTTTCTAATCTTTTACCCAGAATCCACACAGACTTTTTGTTTTTTAGTGATTCATAATTTGGTGGGCTGGGTTAAAAGAGAAGCCTTTTGCTCTACTTGTGCCCGCTCAGACTCTTGGTTACATTATACGGGTTTTAACGCTGGTCTACCACTCGGGCTGAGGGCTCTCTGGTTGTGAGTGGAGAGGCTCAATAACTCAACACTCATTAGGGTGTGTGTGTTTGTGTGTGTGTGTGTCTGCATGCGCAAGTGATTGTGTGTCCACTTTCAGAAGCACATTGGCTTTGAATGTAACCTAAAGTCAAATGTAATACAATTAAATTAATGACATGAAAAACGAATACAAATTCTCTATGTACCACATATGTGTAATCTTCCTTTTAAGAGCTATCTTGTAAAATATTCAACGGACAAAGTAGTAGTTTATTAATTCAGAGAGGTTTGA